CCTGCAAGGAAACGTCCTAGAAATACCAGAAAAATTCCACGTCCCCTCTGCAAACTCATGGACAGTTCTGTCCAGACTTGAGGAGCTTTGACCTGGGTTTGCAACTTGCCTCTGTACTGCTCGCTTCTTTTTTAATGATAGGGGAAAGCATAATAGTTTATTTTAACTATGAAATATATTGCTATATTATAATGGTTATGGTAACTTTCAATTATGCTTTTGTACCCAACACAGTTGTCGGCAGGCAGCGACGCCAGGCTGCTGCCAAAAATGTCTGTTTCTGAGTACAGCTGCTGCTGCCAGTGAGGATGGAGGACAAGGGGCAGGGAGGGGCACGGAACCCCAGTCGTTATCCTTTATCTCCCAGGTGTTTATTCCTGCTGCCCAGAAGCTGACCTCTAGCAGGTCTGGATCCGTGCAGCCCACTGGCACCAGAGCTTTGCTTCTCCCTAGGGAAAGGTCTGATCCCCTTTTCTCCCTGGAAAGCCATCCCCACCAGGTTGTCTCCTCCAGCTGAAGGAGTGACTTGGCTCCCTGGGGAGCTATGCAAGAGTCAAACCTCCCCCCTTTCCTGCAGGATGGAGGCTCTTGAGGAAGCAGTGGTGCAAAGCATGCTGCTTCCCTCCTCTAGCCAGGCTCTTGGCACATTTCCATAGAATCATGGAATTGTTAACCTTGGAAAAGTCCCCTAAGATCATTGAATCCAACTGTTAACCCAGCACTGCCAAGGCCATCAGTAACACATGTCCCTAAGTGCCACATCCATGCATCTTCTAATTCCCTCTAGGAATGAAGACTCCACCACTGCCCATGCCAGGGCCTGACCACCCTTATGGGGAAGAAATTTTCCCAATATCCAACCCAAACCTGGTACAACTTACTGCCATTTCCTCTTGTCCACTTGTTACGTGGAAGAGGAGACTGGGACATGTCCAGTTCAGGCTTCACTCCCTGCCCTGGAGAGCTGCAGCTTTTGCTCAGCCTCAGGCTGTGATGGTATAGGAGGATAAAACCCTGAGCATGAAAGAGAAACACAGTGAGGTCACAAGGACTGCTCCATCTCAGCCTTCCAGCTGGGAACAGGCTGCCCTGAGTTGTGGCTGTCTCATCCCATAGAAGTATTCAAGTCCAGGTTGGACAGGGCTTGGAGCAACCTGGTGTAGTGGAAGGTGTCCCTGCCCATGGTAGGGGCGTGGAACAAGATGAACTTTCACTTCCTTCCAATCCAAACCATCCTGTCATTCCCTGATTCTGTGATTCTATGGACAGCTCGAGCCCCAGAGAGCACCTCTTCCTTACCTCCAGCCCCTGAGCTGCTGGACCTGATCCCCATTGGATCATAAGTCTTAAACTGTTCTTTGGCAGCCCCAACGCCTCTTCCCGGCCGGTCCTCACGTGCATGACGTGTCCGGGAATGAGCAGCACCTACAGGACCAATTCCTGCTGCTTTGGTCCAGAGAAAGCCTAAAAGCCCCTACACTGGCCCTTCCCAATCAGAGCTGCAGTCACTGCCACGCTGTCACCGTTACCACTGTCACAGCTGTGCTGGCCTGACCCTCCCAGGCCAGTTAAACCCAGCAGGGCCCCAGCAGCAATGAGCTGCCTTGAGTTCTGGAGGCTCCTTGCTGGGTCCCAGAACTGAAATCTCCCCACAGAAACCAGCTCTGATGGAGGAGAGGGGCTGGTTCCTCTGAGAGGCCAGGGCTAAGCCTCCACTGCTGCCAGCTGGGTCTGGGGGTGCCAGGGCACTTCGGGAGTTCTTGGCCCTCTGCACCACTCTCCCTTGGGCTTCTCCTGCCCAGCATATCCCTGCCAGCTCAGAGCCCTGTGCCATGGCCACCGAGCGTGTTTGCTGTGGGGGAGGAGGTTCCTCAGGGGTCTGAGAAGGGGAAGATGCTGCTGCCAGGCTCTGCACTGGTCCCAGCTTCTCCTCGCTTGACTCCAAGCTGCCTCCTGAAATGTATCCAAAGGCCTGAAGGCTGTAGGGGGGCTTTTGCAGGAGAGAGGAAAAAGCTTCTCCAAGGCATTAGTTATTTTCCTGTGGGATGAGCCACCTCAGAGCCCTGGGGGGCACTAGGCAGGGCTCCAGCAGCACCTGCCCGGTGGGTGCTCTTGGCCAGGGGCTCTGGTGTTCCAGGTGCTGCAAACTGTGCACCCAGCTCTGCTCCTCCTTCTGCCCAAAGTGTTCTTCCCCCTGCTGGGGTCTCGGCGCTGCCGACGTGCCTGCCAGCAGGAGCTGCTTGCATGTCTCTGTGGTCAGGATCTGGCCCTGATCCAGCCCTCCTTCAGGGCCAGTCTCTTGGCTGGGAGACAGGAGTGGGGACTGGCCCATGTGACAACAGCCCGTCCCCACAGCGTTGCCATAAACCTGAGCTGTACCCAGAAACAGGCATGTTTTAAACTATGGCTTTAACCTGTTCACTGTAAAAAGTGCCTTGGACTTTAATCTGAAGAGGTCAGTATCTATAAGTATTTACCTGTGCGGGTGTGTAAGGATGCAGTTCTCTGTGCAGAGTTACACACACAAATATATGATCTAAACACACCTGTGCCTCGGGCCCTCTGTTCCAACAGCCGTGGGAGCTCTTTCCTTTCGCTGCAGGGGCCGGGGGTGGAGCGATACGGGAGGCGCTCCCGCCGCAGGGACCCCTTGCCCGAGGGAAACTCCGTGCTGGGAGGGTTGTGCTGGGGGCAGCAGTTCCCCTCGGGGGAGCTGATCCGTCCTGTGCATCCCCGGGAAGCTTCTCCGTGTCTGTCTGCGCGCTTTGGGCAGACCCCGGTGAGGGGATCCGCCCCCATTCCCTCGCAGAGGGATGCTTGGACCGGGGTCACATCCCTGGACTGCCCGTGCCAGGAGCTGCTGGGCACTTTGTAAAACCACAGACGCTTGTTTTGTGGGAGCAGCGAGGGGTTTTCCAGCCACCTGCTCCCAAAAGGGAGGTTTGGTTCCCGTGTGCTTGGGCTGTGGCTGAAGGGGGGAGCGTAGAAGGTTGATGGTGTGGCAGGT